GCAATAGTAAGAACTGATCACATCTAGCAATAGTATGAACTGATCACATCTAGCAATAATATGAACTGATCGCACAAAGCAATAATATGAACTGATCACACCTAGCAATAGTATGAACTATTCACACCTAGCAATAGTATGAACTGATCAATAGTATGAACTGATCACACCTAGCAACAGTATGAACTGATCACACCTAGCAATAGTATGAACTGATCATACATAGCAACAGTATGAACTGATCACACCTAGCAATAGTATGACCTGATCACACATGGCAATAGTATGAACTGATAACACCTAGCAATAGTAAGAACTGATCACATCTAGCAATAGTATGAACTGATCACATCTAGCAATAATATGAACTGATCGCACAAAGCAATAATATGAACTGATCACACATAGCAACAGTATGAACTGCTCACACATAGCAACAGTATGAACTGATCACACCTAGCAATAGTATGAACTGATCACACCTAGCAAAAGTATGAACTGATCACACCTAGCAATAGTATGAACTGATGACACCTAGCAATAGTATGAACTGATCACATCTAGCAATAATATGAACTGATCACACAAAGCAATAATATGAACTGATCACACCTAGCAATAGTATGAACTATTCACACCTAGCAATAATATGAACTGATCACCCATAGCAACAGTATGAACTGATCACACATAGCAATAGTATGAACTGATCATACATAGCAACAGTATGAACTGATCACACCCAGCAATAGGATGAACTGATCACACATAGCAACAGTATGAACTGCTCACACATAGCAACAGTATGAACTGATCACCCCTAGCAATAGTATGAACTGATCACACATAGCAATAGTATGAACTATTCACACCGAGCAATAGTATGAACTGATCACACATGGCAATAGTATGAACTGATCACACATGGCAATAGTATGAACTGATAACACCTAGCAATAGTATGAACTGATCACATATAGCAACAGTATGAACTGATCACACATAGCAATAGTATGAATTGATCACACATAGCAATATTATGAACTGATCACATCTAGCAATAGTATGAACTGATCACATCTAGCAATAGTATGAACTGATCACCCCTAGCAATAGTATGAACTGATCACACATAACAACAGTATGAACTGATCACACATAGCAACAGGATGAACTGATCACATATAGCAATGATATGAACTGAGCACACCTAAAGTAAAGTTAATGTCCTTGTTGTAGGGAACACCTAGCAATAGTATGAACTATTCACACCTAGCAATAGTATGAACTGATCATACATAGCAAGACTATGCACTGATCACACCTAGCAATAGTATGAACTGATCATACATAGCAAGACTATGCACTGATCACACCTAGCAATAGTATGAACTATTCACACCTAGCAATAATATGAACTGATCACACATAGCAACAGTATGAACTGATCACGCATAGCAACAGTATGAACTGATCACACATAGCAATAGTATGAACTGATCATACATAGCAACAGTATGAACTGATCACCCCTAGCAATAGTATGAACTGATCACCCCTAGCAATAGTATGAACTGATCACACATAATAATAGTATGAACTGATCACACAAAGCAATAATATGAACTGATCACACATAGCAACAGTATGAACTGCTCACACATAGCAACAGTATGAACTGATCACCCCTAGCAATAGTATGAACTGATCACCCCTAGCAATAGTATGAACTGATCACACATGGCAATAGTATGAACTGATCACACATAGCAACAGTATCACACATAGCAATAGTATGAACTGATCACACAAAGCAATAGTATGAACTGATAACACCTAGCAATAGTATGAACTGATCACATATAGCAACAGTATGAACTCATCACACATAGCAACAGTATGAACTGATCACCCCTAGCAATAGTATGAACTGATCACCCCTAGCAATAGTATGAACTGATCACCCCTAGCAATAGTATGAACTGATCACACATAACAACAGTATGAACTGATCACACATAGCAATAGTATGAACTATTCACACCTAGCAATAATATGAACTGATCACCCATAGCAACAGTATGAACTGATCACACATAGCAATAGTATGAACTATTCACACCTAGCAATAATATGAACTGATCACACATAGCAACAGTATGAACTGATCACATATAGCAATGATATGAACTGATCACACCTAAAGTAAAGTTAATGTCCTTGTTGTAGGGAAACCCGACAGTTTGTTTCCCCAAGATTGTTCGTGTTTCACAAAAGCGAAGCACGAGTTTAACCGAAGAAGAAACCTGTTTCCCTATAGCTAAAGGACAATGGATGTTTTATTATAAAGAAATAGAACAACAACAAAACAGTTAAGATGACCGGGCTAACGTACAATCGTATTGTTAGCCTTGTCACTCGGATTTCATTTGTGCTGCTTATTTTTTTGTCTAGAGTGGCTCCAAATATGGGAAATATGACTCGAGAGCAAATGGGAAACACGATGTTTTGTTTCCCTGTCATAAGATCAATATGATATCAGTTTCGGTATTATCAGACACGCTGATATAGATTGGCCGTGACATTACTGGTGTTCTTTGTAGGCGGTCATAAAGCTTCCTGGTTGATACTGATAAGTAGAGGGCTTAAATAGGTTTTGACTGTTGCACAAGTTCATTTTGTATTTCATTTCAAATGAAATGATACTAGAGAGATAAACCACAGAACGCTTTCCATTTTTAGAAGCAGTAACACGTAAACGAATGTTTTGATAGAAAACTCAAACCGTTGATATTGACTAAATCCTTCTGGTCCCAGTACAGTCTTTGATATACAAGAGAAAATACACAGACACACAGACACAGACTGTACAAGCTGCATTAATATAGCAACCTATTTCTAATAGAAACCAGTTTGAACTCACTTAACTATCTGTTAGTTTAATCATTTTTGTTGCAACAAGAAGTAAAGAAGAATTTCTTCGACGCTCGGCATCTTATTAACGATTTAACCTATACTATACATATTTAGTTTCAAGTGTAGTAGCACCAAGTATTATGACGTGTTTTTTATTGCTGCTTACGGACAGAAATGAGGGCTTGAGGATGGGCTTGAGGTGGGGTGCCAGAGGTGGGGCGCCAGAGGTGTACACTATTATCATTTGAATGTCTTTATTTTGTAGATAGAGGCCGTGCAGCCCATTGTTTCCGACCCAGATAACTAAACAGATTTGTGGGTTTGTTTGGAGTTGTATTCCTATTCTAAGTCTTCTAGTTGACACTGGTGTATAATCTCCGATTATGTAAATACCACCTTACAGACTTCAAATTTCAGTAACTAATTGATATGCTAAGCTTTCTTTAATAAACAAAGCCATTTCTATACAGAATCTACAATAATACAGGTTTCCTCCGAAGAACGTTTTAGTTTTTCTCTGCTTGCTCATTTCCTATTGATAAACAGTGTATATCACTTGACGTATGTAATACGATTATGGAGTTGAATAAATCATAGTTGTTCTCCGTCATTGTAAAAGTATTCCTGAAATACTGTGTAATATGTATCCCTTTTATTTCATAAATGGATTCTACTTTTGGTAATAAAATAAATTGAATAGAAAACAACTGCAAAAACAACTCCAGCAAACATGCACGCATCTCCTCCAGCTCTAACAAACATGCACGCATCTCCTCCAGCTCTAACTAACATGCACGCATCCTCTCCATTTCGGTCTAATTCATGTCCTTTTAATAATGATTATGCATATAATTCATAAAAAATCACAATCTGTCTTAACGTAAAGACCTTATCATAAGTTCGTGCTATTCCCGTAATTAGCGGCATGCAATCTATGACGTCATTAATCAACCCGGATCGCGTTCATGCAGGTGCGTATGGTTCATTAGCTTATGATTACCCAATACGCTTTCAGAAATAAATCTCCCGGGTAATTCAGGGCTATAAAGTACTCATGACAGAGATATTCAATATTTTTAAAACGCTCCCCTGTCTGTCCTTAGCGAAAACGCACTTCACTATATATGGGTGACACACATATTTATCGACGCGAGCTAGTTCTCAAGGTCACGAGATTTAACGTGTGCCGGATATAGTTAGTTCATGATTTCTGATTACGCACGTACTCATATTCTGTTAAGAAACAAGTGTTTTCGCAACTTACCAACTTACACACATGCAAATGTAGCAAATTTAGACGGATCCTAAGCTAGCAAATGATTCCTGCGTTTTGAACATACACACACGTGTGTGTAACACATGTTTAATCATGTACGCGTTACTGAATCCCCTAAACAACGCTCGTAGAACACGAATATTTATTTGAACAGAGCAAAAAATATCACTATGTTACTAGGAATGCGTACACACAGCTATGAGTTAAAGGAAAGTTCAATACGGACGTTTATGCACATATGCTTGAGCGCGGCTGTGTATACACACACCTGGCGGGTCATAATATATGACTTGATATACAATGTTCGAGCCGGGGACATTCCAGTTATTTGCGTAAGCATTACACATTTAGAATTTACCTACTGGTATTGTGTGCGTCAAAAAAAAACCTCCACATAATTTTTATTCCGCATGACTTAATACTTACGACCTCCTAAACTTCAAATTGTTGTGTACAGCATTTAAAAATAATTGCCCTTTTCAATAATTCTAATTTGTGATTTTGTATATTTGTGAAAAATACGTGTCAGTAGTTTTTGTTTTTTGATTAAATTAGCGAGAAATCGCGCATATAAGGACAAATGATTAAATCTCAGATAAAAACATACACAACGTGTGTACATGTATAGAGTGTAGATTAAAATGTTTATTTTCCTATTTTCTATTGACGTCATCGCGTCTAAATACTGGCGAGTGTTATCCGTTTACGACGGGAAACATGTCGATACTATATGTGTAGGCATATATATTATATACCCAGAAGGCGGACGCTTCACCGATAAATACACCACTACGTGTAGTAGACTTGGATGTCACGCTTGCACGAGCAAATTATTTGAGGTTATTCTCATGTGTAAACACTTGTACCTTTGTCGTTTAAAAACCCAGTTAAATGGTGTACTTTAGATTCACGTTGTCGATACACATATGCTCTGTTGTTATGGTTTAATTGCATTTCAGTCAAATCTAATTTTTATTACAACTCGACAGCGTACGAGTGCAGGGACCACTTATCCCATAATGCAATATTGTGCGTCTGGGCACATGCGTAAAGGCCCGCTGCCATGTCGAAAGTTTTCACTACAAGGAAACAGACTATGTCGGTAGATTTGTGACATTTTCAATGACTGTCACCAGCTTCTCGTTTATATGGAGTTATGTCAGCTCTGCAGAGTAACGAATGGATCTTGCAAGCGATAGACCAACTCCGTCAACGAAAGGCAAGACCCGATCTACCGCGAATATGTCACATGGCGAAGCGGAAACACGGATTGAGATTCGCTGAGACGGAAGAGCAACTTGAAAAACTTGTGGATGCACAAATAGTCATAAAAGTTGATTATAAAGGTAATATCAGCTACAGAAACGCTGCCAAGTGGCGGAAAAGTCATTTAGGTGGACAGGTATTGAATTCTAGAGCTGCTGTCGAAATGTTGACGGATGCGGTACATGCTTTGACAGCAGGACGTGATAACGGAGGAGAGGAAAAAGAAGAAAAACACGGTGCCTCTGTCAGAGACATAGAGAGATGGCTTGTGTCACAGAAAATGGGGAGGGAGGAATTTAAAGTCCCTCTTCATGTCATGTTACAAAGAGAAGTGGATGCAGGGAGACTTGAAAAACTTCCCAATGGAAATTATATTACGTCCCAGCTTGGAGCTAAAGCGTGCAATATGAAAGCTATATTGAAGAGATGCGTTTCCGTGAATACTAAAAGAGGGAGACCCCCGAAAAAGAAGGTTTGGAACTTACAATTAATTTTTAAATATTTTTTTTGTGAGTGTGGTACACATATACCAATGAGCAGTCAGTGTGTATATATATATACTTATTTTCTGATTTTAATTAGACGACCAAGAAGATGGGGAAGCGGCAGTGGAGCGAATTAACTTGTAAAAGTGAAAACTTCACGGTGTTATTTTTTTTTTATTTAAGGAAATATTTTTTTTTTCATCCTTAAAACGCTTTTATATATATATATATACAGAACAACGGGAAAGGGACTTGGAAACATCGAAAAAGTTTTTTCTGACTTTACAATGTTGAAGAGCATCGTTTGATTTTGCATGCGTAATTAATCTGACATCTGTATGGAAATGCATTTATTCGTGTATGTAATTTGTTGTTTTGTTAAGTTTGCAAATCATCTTAACGTTTGAGTGAAAAAATTGCAATGAAGTTGATTTATTGAATAATACCTAAGTAATTCTGTACAAATAAAAACCCCATCTTATTTAATGCGATGAACGCACACTTGCAAAGCTATAGCCGGTTAATTTGTTGAAGATGTTACAATATATAAGTTACTGTACCAAATACTCAAAAATGAAAGTAGACCTAACAACTTTGAACGGCAAAGCACGCTATGGAAAGCGGTTATTAAAAAAACTATAACATTGTTTGTTAGATATCTATTTGGTATAGGCAGGGTATAAGTATTGACGTAAATTTTATGAATACCTGTTATTTCTGTAACCTTGACCTTGGGCTACATAGTAGATAGATTGTACTTATAATGTCGGTAGATACCAAGATGTTATTATGTAGGTTGTAGCTATATAATCGATACCTGCATGCTATATATATATTTCATCACTCAACTAAAAAATAGAGGTACGTAACTCAGCAATATGTCGGCCAAAGTTTATTTCTTTTGTGGGGTATTTTTTGTTGTACTATCGACTAGTACCAGCGGAGATACGAGAATGGGAGGGGAGATAGGGATTACCGTCACGAAAGGTTCCCGTTAAAAATATTTTGGACGTATGTGTTTTCCGAAAGTGAAATATCTCGCGTTAGGAGTTGGCGGTTCTTTTCCTCGCCTTAAAATAATGAATCCGCTATACTGTTGTCATGCGCAATTGTGAAAATGGAACTATTCATTTCACTTCAGAATGTATCTGTTCGCGTTAATAGTAATTTCCAATCATTTATTTGTACGCCTGTTTCCAGGATACGAGGCATTCCACATATAGTGCATGGTTAGGCCAATACACGTTTACCGATCGATAGGTTTATTATTTCACACTCGCTGAACTTTACCATACTCGTATTCGCATCGCTTGATACAGTTTTTCCATCCGCGCGTCTATAAAGTTTTATTGCCGTTGTTACATTCCAAGACAACGCTGCGGATATGTCACTTTGTACACAACTGTGACTGTGTTTCAATAGCTGTTTTTATGATTATTACAACACCTCTTATGTTCATAATTGACATACACAAGTGAAAACGTCCTTCAAACATGTGTTGTCGTCTTAATAAACGCAGCTGTGCGTTAACGGGCTTTAAAATAACTAAACGAATGATTGGTAGAAAAATATCCTATGTTTTTGTCCTGCTAATAAACAAACACGCACCACGAAGTTTACTCTTAGATAAGAGCAAGCTGATTGGAACGACAATTAACAGGTTTCCTGTTTTCCGTTTTTATTTTATGCTTGAATATTTGAATGATAATCTGCTGTACAGTAACAGTTATAGAGACAAGGATATTCACGGAATTGTATAAATAACAATCGTTATCAGACACGCACGGGTGAGTATTTTCCCGTTTAATTGTGTAGAGGTGGTGGGGCGAATTAAGTTAGCTGAACGGGAGTCCCGCCCAACCCCGTCTCAAACATGTACGTGAGTAGTAATACAAAAATGTTGAGTTTTTCCATCAGTATCCTCCTCCCAAATACACCCACCTCCACCCTCAAACACTATCAGGGGTCTATAAATACGCCGAGCAGTTAGTCGATTCAGGATTTCGTGCTGAAAGAGTACTGCGTGTGGATTAACCGATAAATGTCTCGTCGTCAAACCCAGCCCACCTTGTAAGAAGATACACGTGTGCTACAAAATAGCACCGCTTATACACGTTATACCCATACACACATGTGCTACACATAGCACCGCTTATACACGTTATAGCCACACACACGTGTGCTTCACATAGCACCGCTTATACACGTTATATCTATACACACGTGTGCTAGACATAGCACCGCTTATTCATGTTATACCTATACACACGTGTGCTACACATAGCACATCTTATATACGTTATACCCATACACACGTTTGCTACACATAGCAACGCTTATACACGTTATACCCATACACACGTGTGCTACACTTAGCACCACTTATACACGTTATACCTATACACACGTGTCTACACATAACATCGCTTATACACTTTATACCTAAACAGACGTGTGCTACACATAGCACCGCTTATACACGTTATCCCTATACACACGTGTGCTACACATAGCACCGCTTAAACACGTTATACCTATACACACGTGTGCTACACATATCACCGCTTATACACGTTATACGCACACACACATGTGCTACACATAGCACCGCTTATACACGTTAGACCCATACACACGTGTGCTACACATAGCACCGCTTAAACACGTTATACCTATACACACGTGGGCTACACATAGCACCGCTTATACACGTTATACCCGCACACACGTGTGCTACACATAGCACCGCTAATACATGTTATACCCATACACACGTGTGCTACAATTAGCACCACTTATACACGTTATACCTATACACACGTGTCTACACATAACATCGCTTATACACTTTATACCTATACCGACGTGTGCTACACATAGCACCGCTTATACACGTTATGCCCATACACACGTGTGCTACACATAGCACCGCTTATTCATGTTATACCTATACACACGTGTGCTACACATAGCACAGCTTATATACGTTATACCCATACACACGTTTGCTACACATAGCAACGCTTATACACGTTATACCCATACACACGTGTGCTACACTTAGCACCACTTATACACGTTATACCTATACACACGTGTCTACACATAACATCGCTTATACACTTTATACCTAAACAGACGTGTGCTACACATAGCACCGCTTATACACGTTATCCCTATACACACGTGTGCTACACATAGCACCGCTTAAACACGTTATACCTATACACACGTGGGCTACACATAGCACCGCTTATACACGTTATACCTATACACACGTGTGCTACACTTATCACCGCTTATACACGTTATACCCACACACACGTGTGCTAAACATAGCACCGCTTATACACGTTATTCCCCTACACACGTGTTCTACACATATCACCGCTTATACATGTTATACCCATACACACGTGTGCTACAATTAGCACCACTTATACACGTTATACCTATACACACGTGTCTACACATAACATCGCTTATACACTTTATACCTAAACAGACGTGTGCTACACATAGCACCGCTTATACACGTTATAACCATACACACGTGTGCTACAAAATAGCACCGCTTATACACGTTATACCCATGCACACGTGTGCTACACATATCACCACTTATACACGTTATACCTATACCCACGTGTCTACACATAACATCGCTTATACACTTTATACCTATACAGACGTGTGCTACACATAGCACCGCTTTTACACGTTATACCCACACACACATGTGTGCTACACATAGCACCGCTTATACACGTTATCCCTATACACACGTGTGCTACACATAGCACCGCTTAAACACGTTATACCTATACACACGTGTGCTACACATAGCACAGTTTATATACGTTATACCCATACACACGTTTGCTACACATAGCAACGCTTATACACGTTATACCCATACACACGTGTGCTACACATACCACCACTTATACACGTTATACCTATACACACGTGTCTACACATAACATCGCTTATACACTTTATACCTAAACAGACGTGTGCTACACATAGCACCGCTTATACACGTTATGCCCATACACACGTGTGCTACACATAGCACCGCTTAAACACGTTATACCTATACACACGTGGGCTACACATAGCACCGCTTATACACGTTATACCTATACACACGTGTGCTACACATAGCACAGCTTATATACGTTATACCCATACACACGTTTGCTACACATAGCAACGCTTATACACGTTATACCCATACACACGTGTGCTCGGAACGTATTTCCGGTGTATGCAAGGAATGTGTTCAATACCCTACGATTCTCCTAATGTTATGTAATTTATAAAAAAAAACGTCTCTGTTGTTGATCTGTGTCAGCTGAAAGTTCGCCGTCAAGTCGTTTTTACCTGTATCATGTATTCATAGACACAAGGTAATTACATATATTCATGTTTCATTCTATTTATACGGTATTTGTAACTTAAAGTACAGTAAAGATTTAATAAGGACAGGTAAGATCATTTTTACTTGAGGAGCAGGAGCGAGTTAGATTCGCAACTTTAAATATATCCTTGGAGCCATATCGCCTATGTTGTCTAGCGTGATTTTTAGGTGCATTTAAACAAATAAAAAAGACACGTTATATATAACACAACGGAAATATTTAGCAATGACTAATATGGAATTTTGTATGTAATTACAAATAGGTTTGTATCTTAGCCCATCAGACACCTGTTAACATCCGTTGGCTGGAACATGATGATTTGACGCATTAGTAAGGCTATTTTTCTTTGTGATGGAATTTCAGGATTGTGACGGACATCTTTTCTTTAGGAGGGTATGTTAATATGTGCAACGACTTGACTTGAGGATCATCATAATATAAGAACTATTGACTTATGAAACGTATATGTATCTTGTTGCCATGGAAATGTAGGGCTGGGTACGGTAGCAAAGAATTAAATGTGGAAGTTGCTTTTTGGGGATACTTACGTGTTTTATCAGGAG